GCAGATCATTTGAAAAAAATGCCTATTTTTCAGGTTACAAGTGCTGAATCCATTTAAATAAAAAAAGAAATCAGATGTACTTATTGGCTTGAATGTTTTTCAGGTTACTGAAAAGAGTGTTTCAAATAAGTGGTATATTGACAAGTTATTAAATGTTCTTGATTTCCTAACAGATGGGCTTAAATGATTCTTCCAAGCACCATAACAAAATTTATCTCAATACAGTAGTTATAGTGTCAGCAATACTTATCTTTAAGTGTTAAATCATTATCAAATGATTTAACACTTAAGATATAAATATTGGGTGCCAGTCTGCAGCGTTCTTCTTCTGCTCTGAACATTACTGGGTGTCCATCATTAGTAAAGGATAGAATTGTAGAATATTTGCTCATGCTTGGAAGTCATTGACAGGTAGAGAGCATGAGATGGATCTCTCTAAAATGATTTGATTATTTCAGACACTTCTAGCCAAAGAATCGATTAACAGGTGAGAGCAAAGCAGCTAACACAATTTATAGCTTAAATCTAATGCTCTTTCTAAAAAGCATGAATGCTTTGCGGAGATAACAGGTCAACTCTAAGTTTTTTTTTGATTGGGTAACTAAAATAATAGATCAGGGTGGTGCAGTAGACATTGATTACCTAGATTTCAGTAAGGCCTTTGACCCTATCACACATAGAAGGTTTATCAATAAATTGCAATCTTTAAGTTTGGATTACAGTATTGTTAAATGAGTTAGGCAACCACTGAGTGACAAGCAACAAAGGTTTGTAGTCAAGTATATTTGAACAAGGTTTTGTTATTTTTATTAGTGATATTGTTTTTTTGCTCATGATACAAAGATTTACAACAGGGTTGATGTTCCAGGAGGGAAAAGCTAAGTGGCAAATGCTTTAGGTAAATTAGAAAAATAGTCAGAGTTGTCACAACTGACATTTAAAGGATCACTATAGGGTCAGGAACACAAACATGTATTCCTGACCCTATAGTGTTAAAACCACCATCTAGCCCCCCTGGGCCCATCATGTCTCCACAAATATAGCAAACTCTTACTGTATTCAAGCCTGAAGCTGTAGATCTGCATGCTGTTTGCCTCAGAAAAAACAAGCTGTCTGCTGACATCATCAGAAGTGGTGGCCTGATCCAATCACAATGCTTCCCCATAGTTTTATGGGCAAATGCAAATATTACAAGTTTTAGAATGAAATGTTGTATTTCTTAAACTGTGTACTTTGTCTTTAAGAGATATTGCAAACTGACAAGGGGTTGGAAATGGAACATATTGTTTTTCATAGATGTTTCTTTAAGCAATAACCTCAGTGCATAATATGTTTGCGCCATTTTGTCCCAGACGAATTACAATAACAATATTGCATAAACAAGCTTCAAGGCTATGCTACGACTCTTCCAGTACACAATATACTGTGGTAACCTTAAGTAGATAAGGATGTCCAGACTTTAAGATTTCATCTTGAATTAAGTCAGGAAAATTTCCATGACGTATACACCCTTTAGTTATGGCCTTGTATGTTTGCCAAGCTAAAATGAATAAAGTAAAAGAAGTGTTACGTTTTCATATATGAACTATGGTAACCCTAAAATGTAGACACCTAAGGTATAAATAGGTGTACTTTTAAATGTTAAGACACAGAGGAGAGACTTGGAGACAGACGCTGCTCCATCTTAAAATGACAGAGAGGCTGACATGATGACATGTTCAGAAGGGTATATTAACCTATTAATGATATTTGCAAGCATTTAATTTAATCTTATAAACGCTGCTATAATGGATTTTATGTCTATATTTATATTTTTATATAATAAATATCTAAAAGACAAAAAAAACTATTGCTTCCAAGACAATCCTTATTTTATATTGTATTCTCAGTTATTTATATATGTTAAATAGAGGATCTCTTACACTAACTATATAAAATTATGGCTAAGATATCTGTATGGTTAGCCCTACTAAGTTCTATGCTTTAAGACATTATAGTGGTAAATAAGAGAGCCAACCATGGTTACAAGCTGTAGATATGCATGCTGTTTGCCTCAGAAAAACAAGCTGTCTGCTGACATCATCAGAAGTGGTGGCCTGATCCAATCACAATGCTTCCCCGTAGGATTGGCTGAGACTGACAAGGAGGCAGATCAGGGGCAGAGCCAGCACAATTCAAACACAACCCTGGCCAATCAGCATCTCCTCATGAGGAAATCTCAGTGTCTGCATGCAGAGGGAGGAGATACTGAATGTTTGGTTACATTTTAGGCAGCCATGACCCAGGAATGATCTCTAACAGCTATTTGAAGAGTGGCCAGTGAAGTTATCACTAGGCTATAATGTAAACACTGCATTTTCTCTCAAAAGACAGTGTTTACAGCAAAAAGCCTGAAGGTAATGATTCTACTCACCAGAACAAATTCAACAAGCTGTAGTTGTTCTGGTGACTATAGTGTCCTTTTAATGTCATATTAGGGGTAATTATTTCATATGACTTAGGGCTAATTTTTCAGATGTCTTACAGGTAGGCAGACGATGTAATAGAGCAGCAGGAAATGCTAGCAGAATGCTTGGTTGTATAGTGAGAGGTATTCGCAGTAGCAAGAGGCCAGGGGTCATGCCATTGTACAGAACACCGGTGAGACCCCATTTGAAATATTGTACGCAGTACTGGAGACCATATCTCCAGAAGGATATTGATACTTTGATGAGAGTTCAGAGAAGGGCTACTAAACTGGTTCAAGAATTGCAGAGTAAAAGATCTTAACATGTATAGATTGGAGGAAAGATGAGACAGGGGGTATATGATAGAAAGATTTAAATATATAAATGGACCAAAACGGAGGAGGAGTATATATATTTAAAAGAAAATTTACCACAACAAGGTGACAGTCTTAAATTAGAGGGGCAAAGGTTTAAAAATATCAGCACGTATTACCTTACTGAGAGGGTAGTGGATGCATGGAATAGCTTTCCAGCTGATGTGCTAGAGCTTAACACAGTGAAGGAGTTTAAGCATGTATGGCATAGGCACAGGAAAGTTGGGCAGACTAGATGTGCCGAATGTTTATCCGTCCGTCTTTTTCTATATGAATAAATGTATTTACTATATGTAGGCATTGTGTTTAAATGTAGACATTCTATTGTAAATTTTTGTAAATTGCACTGCTAGTAATGCTGTCAGACCCCTTACAAATACCTATAGGCAAGGTTCATAACCGTATTTATTTATCATTTTTTGCCACACCAACTGTACGTGCAACACAATCGTTATACAAAATTGTGTTAATGACATGTTTATTTGCTAGCTATGTTAATATTGTTTCAAACGAAACGTGTTCGGTGGTGAATGGGTTAACAGAGAGGAGATAAGAAATTCTAAATTAAGCAGACAAATAAAGGAAGTATAAACATTAGATCTCTCTTAACAGAAAATATGTAGGGAGACTGTGTAGGCCACATGCACGGGAGGTGTAACTAGGGCTGCATAAGTAAAGTAGG